GGAAAGATCCGTTGAGCAACAGTGAAACTATCAATAGGGGTGTCCGTTTTGAAGGAGCTATTTCTCTGTAGCCTAATTTAGGTCCATGAAAGTAGCTGTGTTCCCATCTGTAACAAAGTGCTCTCTTCAAATGTGGCTTTTCAAAATAAAATTATTATTCAGAGCAATGCAGTGTTACATTTTGGGTTCTCAATATTTCAAAGTGACTTTTCTCGCTATGAGGAAATGCACTGGATCATTCTGAATTTTCCTAATTGTGCAAGATTTTAAGGGCTGTTTTCAAGGACATGCATCTCTCTAATAACTATGAGCTTCATAATAACCCTTCCAATAAAGTGCAAATCAACCCACTGCTCCCTTAGTCACGGATCTTATTTTAAAACCCCAAAATCTTCAGCAAGAAGGATCAATAAAACAGAATGTCTCCCCTTTTCACTCAAATATGGGGGTTTTTGGTGCTTTAGATGGAAGGAAAGTATACCCTGTCTTTTGTTCAAACAGCAGATATTACTGCACTGTTTACAAAGACAAAATCCTGCGTCCAGTTTTCAATATAGATAATCCTTGAATAAATATATTTTTGCCTGTTTGTCAATCACAGAAATGCCAGCGACAAGCTGGGAGTCATCCCAGAGCAGGCAGCCTTTCTTTAATTAAATGCCATGCTCTCCCAGTCCTGGACATGGAGTGGGCAGAGGGTGAGACCCCACAGAGACTCCTCCCCAGCTCCCACACTCCTGACAGCTCGGGACCAATGACAAGGTGTGCAGGGAAATGTGTCCCCATGTCTCAACCACATCACAGTCTCCACATGCATCACCTCACCAGGAAAGTTGTCTACAGCTCCTCCCTGAGACCAACAGGATGATGAGAATACTGAGGAAGATGCTTGGGGCAAACCCTGGGGGTGCAGAGGGCTGCAGCCTTGCTCAGGTCAGCACACGGCTCCTCGTCCTTTGCTGAGCTCTGGTGTGACACCTGGAGCTCCTTTGCTGGATGCTTCTAGCATTGCTTTGCACATAGCATTACTCAGAGCTGAAGGCTGACAAGTTCCTGCCTTTGGACCCCTTCAAAACTGAGATGTAGAGAAATTTGCACGACCCTTCAAAAGATCTTGAGAACGAGATCTGATCTCTAAGCATCACCTGCCAGTGATGCTCAGAGACTGAAGTGTCTCCTTGGGACCTTTGGACACCTTGCCCATTAAAAAGCACTGATGATGAATTTCAAAGCTTATTTTGTTACGGCTTTTTTATAAAAAAAGACTTTTTTTGGCCATTATTGAAAGCTTTCAGTCTTATCCACTTGGTGTGTTGTTAACCTCC